AGAGAGAGAGAGAGAAAATAAAGTTCCATCTGCTGGTTCACTCCCTAAATGCCCACAACACAAGATCAGGCCAGCTGAAGCCAGGAGCCAGTGACTCCATCCACGTCTCCACGTGGATGGTAGGGCCCAAATGCTTCGGTCAGCTTCTGCTCTCCCAGACACATAGTGGCTTTTGCTTTCCTTTTTTTCAGTGAATTGAACAGTCTTTGTATTTAAGGAGTAAGCTTCATTAGATCATGAACTTGTTAATGTGATGTTGAATTTTTGGGCTAATAATTTGTTAATGATTTTTGCATCTTTGTAAGCTTAGCTCTGGCTTTAGTGTTAGGGTAATGCTGGTCTCATGTCTCGTGTAATTGTCCTGTGCTATACTAGCATCCCGCTAACTTGGTGATTCATAAAATAAATTGTTGTCTCAAAGTTCTGGAAGTGAGAATTCCAATATCAAGGTGCTCCCTCTGGTGGGGGCCTTGCCTTTGTGCTGTGTAATTACATGGCAAATGAGTTTGGGGGAAACAAGCCAAAATTGGGCTGAATTTGCTTTTTATCAGAAGCCCACTTCCATCATAAGCTCAATTTTGTGATAAGAGCATCAACTCCAAAAAGTTTGCCCTCATGACCGAATCACCCCCTAAAAGTTCCATCCCTTAATTTCACAGTGGCATTAAATTTCCACTTTTTATGTTTAGGTCTTCATATATTGGTTTATATATGTTTATGATTGTTATATTAACTGATCGTTTTATCATTACACAATGTCTTTTTTATATTATTACTGGAAAGGCAGAGTTAGGAAAAGATCTTGCACCTGCTGGGTCACTTACCAAATGGATCCAACAGCCAGATCTATGCCAATTTAAAGCTTGGAGCCAGGAGCTTCTACTGGGTCTCCTATATGGGTGCAGAGGACCAAGATTTTAGGTCATGCTTCACTGCTTTCTCAGGGCATAAGCAGGAAGCCGGATAGGAAGGGGAGCAGCCAGACTCGAACTTGCATCAATATGGGATGCAGTGCTGCAGGAGGCTTAGCTTGCCCTGCCCCAATATACAATGTCTTTATTCACCTCTTTTCTTTTTAGAGTTTTAGACTTAAGTTTTACTCTGTGTGGTATAAATATAGTATGCCTCTGTGGTTTCTATTTGTGTGAAATCGCTTTTCATTTCTTCACTTTTGGTCCACGTGCGTTCTTTTAAAATGTGTCTCCTATAATTGGGCCTTTAAAAAATTTTTGAAGATCAGGGAGACAGAGACCTGCTATCCACTTGTTCACTTCCCAAAACTCTGAAACAGCTAAGGAGGGCCAGACTGTGGCTGAGATCTGTGAACTAAAGCTGGGCTGCACAGATGAAGCACTGAGCCATGACCTGCCACCTCCAGGGTAGGTATAAACAGCTGAAACTGGAAGGGGAGCTGGAGCTGAAGTTGTGAACTATAATACAAGATGAGGGTTTAGTAGCTGCTGTGCCAAAAGCCCAGCGCAAGGCTTATTCTTATCCATTTAATCACTGTGTGTGTGTGTTTTCATTGGAAAATGTAATCCATTTGCAGCCAAAATAATTGCTACTGGCTAAGAACTTACTACAAGCAATTTTGCTGTTTTAGGTTGTTCTGTAAATACTCCTCTTTTGAGTCATTTGTGGTCTTAAAGGTTCTTTGTAGTGACAAATGTTGAATTTTTATTAAAGTATCAATTATAGGTTTTTGATTTGTGGTTACCATAAGACTTATGGAATGTAACCATACATTTCAAGTTGATAAAAACTGAACCTTTATTGCTCAGAACTGTGCATTTGTCTCCCCTACATTATTTTTATGTCAATTTGTTATTTTGTAACATTGCTATTATTGATTCCCTTGTAGCTCTCACAGTAGGGATAAAATTGCATTCATCAGCACAGCTGCAGTTCCAGAGTACAGAAAATGGTTCTGTGTTACCTACATCAAGGAACTTTGTTTACACCTTTTATATTAATAACTAATGGTCTTTTGTTTCAACCTAAAGAACTACCTTTAATAAATTCTAGAACGCAGATCGGGTGGTGCTGCAGCACAACCCCTCTTCCCAACTTCGCCTCCAACTCTTGTTGGCTTGGGAGTTTCTCTTTTCATTTTGGAACGGGAGTTTTACATGAGAAAATATTCTCGATGGGCAGTTTTTTCTTTCCGATTTATGAATCTATTGCTCCAACTCTGTCCTGGTCCACAGGTGTGACAGAGATCTGCTGGGTGTAAGGTGTCCTCTTTGCATGTGATGTGTTCATCTTCTGTTGCTCTCAGAATTCTCTGTCCTTGATTTGGATTGCTTTGTCTTATTGAACTCTTTATTTTAAACTTGACTGGAGAGCTTCATGCTTCCTGAACCTGTATGTTGGCATTTTCTTTCCAGATTAGGGGAATTGTTAGTCATTCTTTTTTTTTAAAAAAAGAAAAAATCCCTTTCCTTCTCTTGGAGTCCTGTTTTGTATATGCTAGGACTCCTGAAGGTGTCCTATAGTTACCATTAATTTTACTCCTTCCTGTCTTGCTTCTCTGGGTAATTTCAATTGTTGCATCTTTGAGATCACTGAGTCTTCAGCTTCACTCAGACTGAAATGATTTCTGCTGCTTTTCATCATTTGTTGTGTTAATTATCCTTCATTAGAAGAGCTCCTTTTAAAAAGATTTATTTGTATTGGAAAGTCAGATTTACAGAGAGGAGACACAGAAAGATCTTTAATCTGCTGGTTCACTGCCAAGTAGCCACAACAGCTATAGCTGAACTGATCTGAAGCCAGGAGTTTCTTCTGGGTTTCCCATAAAGCTAACCATGGGATGTGTGCACTGGCCATGGAGTGCCGATCTTTCAAATTCAGTTACAGGATTTCAGGGGTTGGGGAGGACAAGGTCACTGATGGGGATAGATGGAGCCACCTGCTGTACTCAGTAGAACTACATCATTAAGTATCGCCCCCTGCATGTGTGGACTGAGGATTATTTCAACTGCTGAGTATGGCAGGTGGACACCGTGCTCTTTGCTGAAAATCACTATTGTGATCATCTCCCTTTCTGCAGAGTTTGCAGCAGGAGTTTGAGGTTCTCATGAATGCTGTCCAACTCCCTAGAGGGGTGTAAGTATCCCCGGTCTTTCCTAACATTTTCTATAGTGATCCTTTCAATCCCTTGCTAAGGTCCCCAGAGTAGAGTCTAGAGTTTGGCCATCCAGAAATTCAAGCTATGCAGAACTTCTCTCCACTTCTGGAGCAGCCGGCTTGGCATTGTGGGTGGGCTGCACTGTGATGAGATACATCTCCCGTCAGGAACCCTAGCTCCTTGGTCTAACTGGGCTTTCTGCACTCGTGTGTTCTGTGAAGGAAATTACAGTGGCCATCCTGGGAAGCACCTTGGAGTATGAGGGAAGCAGCATGTCTCCCTCTGGGTCTCTGTTCCCACTGTAGGAATCACAGTTCCTAGGGGAACCTCTGCATGTTCTGTTTATTTAGGAGATGTAGAAAGTGACTGTTTTCTTAGCCTTTCCATGTTGTTTTAATCCGTAGACGACAGTGGTGAGTCAGGTTTACTGTTTGGGGTGTTCTCCCAGCATAGGCCTTTCTGTGCGTAATTGCTAGTCAGACCTTCTGTGGGGGAAGAGTGAAGCCTGGAACACCCTTTTCTGTCACTATGTTGACATTTTCCAATCCTTTTTTTTATTTACCTTTTCAGATTCAATAGACTCAGTTATCTAATCTTCAGATTCATTCTTTGGCCTGCTCAGAGGTTTCCAGATCACAGCTAAGTAGCAAATGTATTCATGCAGGCTTACTAAGCTCACAGGACTCCTGAGTGTTGTAAATATTTGTTCTTAAGATTTTACTTCTGTGAAAGGCAGTTAGAGGGGGAAAGGAGATAGCCAGCCAGCCAGCCAGCCAGGTTCCATCTATTTGCCCACTCCCAAAACTCGGAGAAACAGCGGAGTTTAAGTCAGGCCCATGGCAGAAGCCTACAACTCTGACTGGACCCCCTACATGGGCGGCAAGAGTCCAAACCTTGGGTCACATTCTGCTGTTAACCCAAGCACATTAGTAAGGAGTTAGGTTAGAAGCAGAGCACCCAGGCTCGAAAAAGCACCAGGATGCTGGTGGAGCAAGCAGGGGCTGAACGTAACGTACCACCATGCTGGCCCCCACACTGCAAAATTTCAAAAGAACATGAAGTGTTCTTCTGATTTATGTAACTGCAGAACCTCCTTTTCACTGCATATCTCATAGGACAAGTAGTATTTCTCCTTTGCTGGCTCAATTATGTTACCCTAATGCTGATGAGTTTTAGAGATGGCTGAGAAAGATTTTGAGTTGTGTGGAATGTCGGGACCCTCCAAGTACAGCACTGCCCATTGTGAGTATCCCAGCCCAGAATCTATCCCTCAGCCTGAAAATCTCTCAGCCACCAAGCGGAGCTCTTCACCTACAGCCGACTCTGGGCAATCTTACCCAAGCTCCACACAATCCAGTGACCAAATTCCCATCTAGTTTTGGGATATGTTTAATGCATTACAATATGACAGTAAAAGGCCAGGTTTGGGAACTGAGTTTAAATCCTAGTTTTGTCAAAGAAAAATCACTGAAATACGTCTAAGTGTGTGCATGTGCATGAACACACATGCGTGTGTTTGTGTGGCCACTCCGTATAGAATACAGTATATAAAGTGGTTCTGGATGGTTAAAGGGAATGCATGGATAGGATTTAGCATTGTGCTTATAGCATTGGCCCCTTAAAATGAGGTATATACAGTGTTGGCACTCAGGCTGTGAGATGCTCAAGAGTAGGAACCATTTCCTGTGTGTTGGCCAGTGCAACTGCTTTGTAAAGATGTAATTTCCCCAGCGAGAAAGCATAAAAAGCCATCACTTTATTTCCTGCCATTCTTTTTCCGGTTGTTTTCTGAGCCAATGGTTTTAATGCGGCGTTCCACAGATTGAGGACTGAACTATGACCGGAGAAGAAGACCAGGAAGCTAGTTTTGCTGGGTTGGAAGCAGTTTTAATGGAGATGGAAATGTTTATCAACTCAACACAGGTACCCCCAAAATACAAATCAAAATATCATCTTCAGCTGCATAGCAAATATGATTTAAGAATTTAACATCATTTTGATCACAAGCGTAAATATAAGTCACCATAAATAAATGTAAATTCATTGTACAAAAATTCCCCAACAACTCTTAATACAAATATGGTACATTTGACAATTTCTGAAACAGGATTTTTTTTTAAAACTTTTTAAAGCCTCAGCTTTTTTCCTGGGTCTCAGACACAGAGAAAAACTAAAAGGAAGGCTGTAACAGTGTTAGGGAGGAAAAAATACTGAACTTTCCCAGTGTTGGTAAGTGCTTTCAGGGAAACAAAATTTCTCTCTCCTGAATGTGAAGGCAACAGTTTTCTGGGCCCACGTCTCTGGAGCATAACGTGACTGTTCCGAGGGTCAAGTTTAGAATCACAAATGTGGTGTGGGAAGCATGGATTGTGGAATAACAATCTAGTCAAATGGGTGGTCCTACAAAGCAAGGCTAGAAATTTGGAGTGAACTCTAGAGCTTCAAAACTACTAATTTGTCTGAAAGAGGCAGCTGTCAGTCCCAGACAGGGTGGAAGGTAGGGAAGAGCGTAGAGATCTAACGCATGTTGGAAGACATGTTCTGCCAAGTGGTTCTGCCATGTGATGCTGTAAGCTCTGTCTTGATGATGTGGGGCACCACTGTGGTGCCCAAGAGGAAAACAAATGAGAACAGGAAGTAGCGGCTCCAAATAGGACCAGCCACCTGACACTTCGAACCTTTCCTCTAGCATGTATTTCCTTTCATGGCTTGGAAGTAGTTCCAAACCTAAAGTTAACAAGATGATTCCTTTATCCAGGGGTTGTTACATTTTGATGTACAACAGAATAGCTCAGCTAGCTTGTGGAAACTGCAGTTTCCTAGCCCTATCAAAAGGGATTCAGAATTAGGGTTGGGCTAGCAATCACATCACTCAAATGTGCTCATCTCAGGATCTGATGACCCCACCTTTCCTCACTGGAGAATAAGAGTTCCTCGCTCAGACCTCAGGAGTGATGAGACATAACCATTTCCATTTGTCTGCCCTGGCAGAAGGTTATCATTGTTCTTTGCATTTTCTTGGTTCTGTTCATCCAGGTCTGGATAAGTATCAAACTGTCATGCTTTCTATGCTGTGAAAAGCTCAAGCCTACAGGCTCCTTTTGAAGCTGTGCTCTGTAGCGAGACATTTGTATTCCAAAGCCTTCTGTTGCCCCAGATGGTTTCCCCATACCTGGGAGAAATTTTGCAGAGGAATTTTTGATTGGGTCTGAAAAATGCAAGGAAATACAGCTCCGATGAGAGAATCCATACCCCCAAATCTAACTTCAGAATCTTAATGGCATGGAAAGTTGAGGACAAAAGATGCAATACTCAGGCTTTCACAGGGCAAAGGAAGTTGTAACTCATTCAAGCAGGATTTTGGGGGGGTACATCACTGCACTAGAAGCCGACTGGTGAATTTTCACTCCTTACCTTCCTGTCTCCAAGATGGTTTGGGCCTCTGTTGTCATAAACCCTTTATATTTGTCTTTTCTGTGGAAGAGTTTCTTGATTTAGGAAGTGGTTCCTAGTTTGGTCACTGGCAAGTGCTGTGGGCAGTGCCAAGCCTGGCACATCCTTTGCCCTGTGTGGCTGGTGCAAAGTATTTGCTTGAGGAGTAAAGGAACCACCTTCCCATCAAGCTGATGCAGCAGCCTCGGTAAGCTTGCTGGCCGTGTTTGTAAATGCCACCTCTGGTGGCGGGCTGCACTATCTTCCTCACTGCTTACACTTAGTCTAGGACAGCTGTGAAAGCATTTCTGCCTTCTTTCCAGGACCACTTTGAAAGAAGAGTTAGGGAGCCTAGGAAAAGCTAGAGCCACCAGCATCTACTGTGATGGCAATCCCAGGAACCCTTGTGTCACTGTGGCTCTCGGCCTCTGCTCCAAACATACTCCTGAATTCCTAACACCCAGAGCAGGAGAAAATGCCACCTGGGAAACTGGAGGGAACAGCCCGAGAACATGCCCAAACCAGTAAGCTGAGGTGCCACTGTCGGTGTAGGCTGACCTGAGGGGACTGGATAAGAGGTCACTATCTTAGGAAGTGATCACACATGGGTGGGACTGTGGGATGGACAAAGGTTGGGGGGTGAGGGAAAGCACACACTGTCGGTCTTTTTCATTTACACTATGGAAAACCCACCATGGAGATGGCATGGGAGAGCATGCACAAGCCCAGCCCCTGGGTGTGGTGTGATGTGTTTGGGGAGGTTCTTGTTTACTTCCAGGTCTAGGCCACACGCTGACCAGTTGGACTCAGATGCAGGCTGCCCATGGCTTTCTCTCCTGCTTCTCCTCCTCCGGGATGAGGGCTTGCAGGACCTTGAGCCTAGCAGGTGGTAGCCAGGGACTGGTGGATGGGTGGCTGGAAACAGCGCACGTGCTCCACAGTGGAACTGTCTGTTTCCACAGACTTCATGTACTTGTTCAGGATGGCAAAAACCTCATTGTTCAAGATCTGGTACTTCCTGATGCGGTCGGCCATCTTCTTCAGGGGCTACAGAAGGACAAAGGAAGTTCAAATGAGCATGGGTGAAGGGGAAGGAAAATAAAGGGAAGGTAACAGAAAAGTTCAGAGAGGTTGGCGACCAGAGTTCAATCACCATGTTACACTCTTGCTTAGAGCAAACAGTTCCCAAATCAAATGTTAACAGGACCATTAAAGGCCTTTGTATAAACTTCAAAATATGCTAGGAAATTAATAAAATAGCGTAATGTTAGTATTAAAACACACAGATCAGTGGATTAGAACAAATAAATCCTCACATACATATAATCAGATCATTTCTGGATAGGATATCGGAAGCATTTAAAGGGGGAAAAGGCAATCTATTTGGCAAATGGATCTATGATCCAATTGTAAGAGTTAAAGATACATGTAACATTGTCAGGAGAAAATGGGACAAATTGTGTACAGAGAATGTATAAATCATTAACACTTAGAATTACAAAGAAGTATAACTCAGTAATGATAGTTAAAAATGAATGAAGGACTTTGAATAGACAGCTCTCTGGGAAGATGTAGGTGAGAAGCACAGTGAGAAAGCTACTAACAAGTGATGAGAATGGCAGAAGTGGGAGTGGTGTGCATAGCTGGTGGGAATGTAAAATGGTGCAGCCACTACAGAAACCAGGATGCCAATTTCTTTAAACAATAATAATAATAATTGCACAGAATTCCCATAATATTACCCAGCAATTCTACCTCTGGTTGTATTCTTAAAAGAACTGAAAGCATGATTAGACATCTGCGTATCCGTGACCATGACAGTATCTGTTGATAGACTTTGGGATAAACAGAATGTGGTATACGTGTCTGCACTCCTATGAGCTGCCCAGTGTAGAGTCAGAGACAGATAAGAATGCTGGTGGCAACGGGTCAGGGAGGGGAGGAGTGGCACAGAGGGTCAGCTGAGGACAGCAGAGCTCTGGGGGAGGGCTGGTGGTGCCCTTTCTGTCATGTCTACTTTGCTCCAATGTATAAAGAAGCCCACGTTGTGGTGATGGCTGACCGTTGCTGTTCTCCTGTGGTCCCTCAAATGGCCCCTTTGTTCCTGGCCCACACTGTCACACCTCTAGGCCTTGGCTGTAGCCAGCCCCTCTGCCTAGCACATTCCCATGAACCCTACGCCTTTTTTTCCCCCACCTGGCTGCTAGTTGTCAGCAACCCCTGACTTGGCCCCAGCACTGACTCCAGGGGAGTTTAGTGACTCCCCTTCCCTCTGCTTTCACTGGCTTTTGAGGGTTCCTCCATCTTCTGGCAGCCCTGTGTTCCCAGGTCAGCGCCTAACCCATCCCAGGGCCTGATCCCACCTTGGTGTTCAGAGAACACCTGTGCAGCTGAGGAACTGGCGTTGGCAGAGTCTGACTGGGACACAGGAGGTGTGTGTGGCAAAGTCTGAGCTCCGCCCTGCCCTCAAGGGTGACCAGATTCATCCCAGCAGGTATGAGCAGGTGACTCATGGTCTCCTCCAGCAGGTCCCAAGCAGCCGAGTAGAGAGTTGGCCTCTTGTTCTTCTGATGGAAGCCTGCCTACCCAGGCCCAGCCCCACCTCCCAGGTGCCAGCCACAAGCCTACTTACCACATTTTTAATGATTTCATCTTTCCCGTCCTGCCTCTGGACTTTGAGCAGGTGGTAACAGAAGTCAAACAGGTCGAAGCGCCGCTGCTGACCCAGCAGGACGATGATGGAACAGCCAGCCCAATTCAAGCCGTCCCCAAAACACTGCCTGGGAGTGGGGAGAGGAAGCAGCTGCAGTGAGAGGTAGGGGGAAGCAAGGGAGCCTCACCTTTTGCCAGGAGCACAGCTGGTGAGCAGGCCTGTCTTTGGGCCCTGGGGAAGTTGCGAGGAGTGGACTGGATCATTCTAGGGGCTGTGGTTCTAGTATACGCCCTTCTAACCACAGAGGGGTTTCAACTTGTTTTCCCCAATGATATTCAAAAGAAAAAAATAAGTAAACAAAAAGTCCAAAAAGACTTCAAAGAAGAGTTTTTGAGGTAAAAAAGAAAAAAATCCAGGCGACTCTTGAGATATTTTGTGGTTAGTTAATGCAGAGCAGGCCAAGGAAACATCTGGGCTCTGGACAGAGCCTGAGGAAGCCTGGGAGGTGAGGGGCCATTCCAAACAAGGAGACATGCTGGCCAGGGAAAGGCAGAGGAAAGCAATGGGTATGGCGTGGAGGAACAGGCGGAGGGCAGGAGGCTTCTAAGCTTGCTTACAGGTCAGACTGCAGGCTCCCAACACACCAGAGACACTGGGGCAACCTGGAAGGTGGTGGGACCAGCCTGCTGCTGTCATTCTTGTCCTCAAGCAGCAGCCCTAGGCCAAAGTGGACAGATGTCTCACTTGCCATGGGATTCAAATCCCATGCGCTACTCAGGGCTCAGCTGCAGCATGTGGATTAAGTCTAGTAACTTTTCTGGAATCTGTTGCCCTTCTTGCCCTTGGCTGGGAAGCAACCTCATGGATGTCCCTTATGTCTGCTGTAATCCTGCTGAGCTAAGGTAGATCCTTTCTGGCCTCATGGAGTTTACAGGACCAACAGGGAGAAAATCAACAGACAAGAGGGACATCACAGCACCTGCACCGTGATTCAATAAACAACCAGTGACCATGCCTACCCGGCCCATTCAAATGAAACCACGACAGTCTGGTAGCTCGGGTATACAAGCAGGCTGGCTGGTGGCCTACCTTCTGCAGGCTACTTACTCAGCGGTGAACTCGTTGGTCCCGACAGGGATGCAGTAGACGAACTGCATGGCACTCCAGAGCCGGTGGAACTCCACACACTCATCCACGTGCATGACGCCATTGGTGGGTGGCGGGCCCCTCCAGATGGGGTCCTGCAGGTAGCTGCGGATGCGGGTCAGGATGACCTCAAACATGGACAGTCCGCAACACAGCCGCTCCTTGGTCAACAGGTCCCCCTCTCGAGCGATGGCGATTTGCTGGGAACACGAAAGGTACGGAAACTCCAACCTATGTTTCAGGCCCTATCTGCCACCTCCCACCGGAGAGTGCCAACCCTGAGCTGGCTGATCCCGGGATGTGTTCAGCTGAGCTGATGCCTTGCCTACAACAGGGTGCTACTGGCTTTATTGAACTGAAGCAAGACACAGGTAAGTCTCACCTGAGGTAAGTAGTACCCAGGGGCATCAATGAAAGTTGTTTGTTTTTTTTTTTTAATGATGACCCACCCACCTGCTGAAATGGTAAGTATCCAAGAAAAGGACCGAGGGGATACTTTCACTAATATGTGCTACTACGCTGTTAATACCACTGGTTCTTACTGCTGAGTGTGTGTGAGATACCAGATCCTGTGCAAAGACCCACATAGGTACTGACTCCATTCAAACCCATTTTACAGAAGAAACAGGCTCAGAGATGCAGCCAGGGAACAGTAAAATTGGGATTGATCCTTGGAGTTTAGATCTGTAACTCAAACTCGAAGGCAAATAGGGTAGTCTGTCAAAAAAGGAGGTAGACTAGAATTCCATTGAAAACCTCCACATAGAATCCTATAAGTGAAAACAAATAAATGCCAGGGGAGTTTTGTACAAGTAGAAATCAGTTGAGAAAGATGAATGTTGATTTTCAGAACTGATGGGCTTGGCGATTTGGAGAGGAGTCTCTCTTTTTGGGTTCAGTGTGTCAGTCCAGCTGAATGTGCTGCAATGAGCATTTGATGAGCCTTTAAACCTTCCCACTGATTGTACAGAATGATTTCCTCCAGCGAGAGGTCCTCCTTCAGCAACCCCAACCTTTCTCCAGTGAGAGAATTGGGTCTGGCTCCTGCTATCTGCAATGAGCAGCCTGGACCGCAATCCAAACCTACTACTGTGTGCATCCCACGAACAAATACCTGGGGGTAAAGGTCCCCCAAACTATCTGCAAAGTAAGATAAACACGAAGGTCCGGAAAGAGGATAGAGGGAAGGTCTCTCAATGTGAGAACAAAGCTAAAAAGGGCTGGCTGCTGAGATGAACCCCCAGGGCACAGCAGGGCCTGTGGGAGGTGGGGCTCCCCAGGGGGCTGGGAGTGCCTGCCTGGCTGGCCTTCCACATTTCCTTCCAAAACCCCCCAGGAAGAGAGCCACTTCTGTGTGAATCTAGGGAAGTACGAAGGGAGGAAAAAACACTGCTGCTGGAGCCTGGGTGAGTGCTGGCTGGGGGAAACACCGGCATGCCAACTGTAAACCCAAAGACCCTTAGAGAATGAACTGGAGCAGCAGTTTGCCACTGTGTGTCCTCAGGGAGAGGGACCCGATTCTGGGTGACTCGTGCTGATTGCACAGGCGGAGGGGCCCTTACAGAGATGCGGGCAGGGTGCCTCACATGGCCACAGCTGCGGAGAGAAATATACTTTGGGTACTGAGTGTGTCTACGCTCTGCTCTGACCCCTGCAAGGCGCCTGCGACTTCACACAGCACAGACCTTCATTTGTTCTGGAAGTCATGGTTAGTCTCTTCGCCAGGGATCCCAGGGTTCTGGCTGATGGGTGACTGTGTTGTGCATTTGGTTAGTGCGAATTGGCGCACGGGGCCTAAAGATGCTGGTGGGGGCACTGAGTTTGTAAAGCTGCAGCCAGACCCTGAGTGAGCCCGCCCACCACAGCCAAGCAGAGGACCTGGCGTTCCCTGTCCTGGGAAGGAGTGCCTACCTGTACAGTTCCTTCTGTGAACTTTGAAAGTAGTCACTGGGTAAAATCTGGAAAATGCTTTTATAGTTTTAAGGAAGAAAATCCCAATTTCCCGTGAACCCCATTAGTAAGAGATGCGCTTTTACAGTATATACGTGTATGTGTGTGTATTTATGTTTAAGAAAATTGGACATCTATATTTTTGTTAAAAATTCATTTCCTTAAGTGTTTCAGTAACATGATTTCTAATAGCTACTAAAATGGCCATTGATACAGCACTGTTGATTTAGTCGCTACTCTTGATAAATCCAAAGCAACCACTGTTTACGTAAAATGTTGTGATGCTATTCCTCATTATGCTTTTCCAGGATAAATCTTTACTTACAGAAAGTTCTAATAATACAAATATTCTAGAAGGCTTTTGCTACATAGACAGTCCTGTGGCCAGCAAATCCCTCCTGCCGTATGAAGCCAGGTCCTTACACCATCTCAGGGCACTGCACGCTGAAAGAGATGCAACCGTGCATCTGATTTTTGAAATGTTCATTCCTAGACTGACAATGCTGAACCCCTGTTGGTGCTTTGTTGGCATTGTGTTTCTCATGTTGCCAATTTTCTTTCATGCTTGCTTTCCATACCTCTATCATTTTGCTCTTTTGAAAAGGGACTTACAGATAAATTTTTGAAAGAAAAAGTGCTTTATAGAAAGAAAAGGCACTGCAAGTATCCTGTTGGTGGGGTGCTGCTAAATGTGTGTGTGTGTGTTTAACACTGTTTTTAATCCCATTTATTTTCTGCTTCATTTATTGGGACAGTTTTCTTCTTCCATCATTGGAAGCCCTGCTGGAGCAGTTGCTTCCTGGAATATTCTGATTATATTTAGCACCGCACCCTCTGTGCCAGCATGCTGTCTGTCTGTTCTGTCCTTATATATAAATGCTTTGGGGAGCAGGAGTGATTCTTTTACTTATTATACCAATCAGATGAAGAACAACAAAGGCAGTAGAGCAGCTACGGTGTCATTTCACATAGAAGAAAAAGATTGAGAATTTAACTAGTTGGTGTGATTTATGCAGCAATTTGGGGCAGAGCTCAGACAACTCTGTCTTTTGTTCCCTTGAGTCCTCTTTCTAGGATAGTGCTGGGCAACAAAACTAGACACCTCAATTTGTCTCGGAGTCCAATGCAAACAATGTGCTCTTCCCAGTTGAAAGCCTGTTACAATTGCTGGGGCCCTAGGCTGCATGTTAGCCAGCGCCCTGAGCCCAGCTCGGCTGCACGTCAGTGTCTCATTTGCTTTCCTTTTGTCTCTGCGGTGGCTAGGGAGCGGAGGGACACTTAGAAAAGTGGCATTTCCTCTCTCACCGAGTGTCTAGGCTTTTGTTAAACATCGTTTTGTTTGACAGCTCGGGATTTCTGTCTGAAGGAGACGGTGGAATTCACAGGCCTCTAAGTGGAAACACATGCTGGACCTTGGGCATCAGAGGCTGGATTCCTGGGGGATGACAGCAGCCGTCCCGCAGACACATGCACATGTCCGCAGCCTTGGGATTTCTCCCTAAAAGGAAGTCAGTTGAGAGGATCTCCTCCGTTCAGCCTCTGAAGCCCAAAAAAGAAAATGTGCATACGCTGTGGTGTCTACAGCCCAGCTCCACTAGGCCTTTGATCGCTGTTTTCAGTGGGAGGCTGGTGGCCCACAAGTGGCCTGGCTGGTGGCTTCTTGGGCATGACACTTGTGTAGACTGGGACTCTGCTCAGACACCTGCCACGTTTTGACAGAAGAGAGGCTTCCCCTGACCTTGCTCGGAACACCCGGGCGCTGCCTGTAGGTGAATCTGAGAAAAGATGTGTCCTCAATGTTTTTGTTTCTTTTTAAATCTAAATTTTAATATATTTAAGAAGGCAGAAAAAGAGAACGAATTGATCGGCTAGCTGAATCTCCAAGTGTCTAATCTAGACGGCTCAGCCAGGGCTGGGACCAGGAGTGCAGTGCAGGTCTCCTGCATGCATGCTGGGAACCCTTTTCCTTGAGGCTTCGCCTGGTGCTCCCAGCATCTCCGTTTAGCAGGAAGCTGGGGTCAGGCGTTGAACCCAGTCAGCCGGCCAGGGGCACCAGCATCTCACCTACACCTACATTTTAAATCTTTTAAATAAACGTGTCCCGGTTTCTCTGTTTTCTAAACCCTTCCCTGCTTGCTTAAATCAGCTGCAAGGAGAACGGGGTACCCTGCGTCGCCTGAGCCCCTTCCATGGCTTGACCTTGTCTTCCTTCCAGGGTCTGAAGCAGGAGTTCCCATCTCACACACCTTGAAGCTCACTGCAACTTGCACAGGTCTTCACGAATAAATGTTGATTACAGAGCCCAAAACTGTGCTCAGTCCTCTGTCCTCTTGGATTTCCTACACAATTTGTCTTTTTTTTTTTTCCTCGTTTCAGAGGTCCCCATGATGAAGCAGGCATTGCAGGCACTTCGGGGAAAAGCTTTAGGGATGTGCTTTTCTGCGTGTGCATTTTTCCACCAAAAGCCTCATCCTGTGGGAGCCATAGCACCCTGCTGCACCTGCCTACGCTGCATTGGAGACCCGTCTGCACCCACGCTGTGAGATCCAGCTTTTCCTCTTGCTCACTCCACAGTAAGTAAATGTCGGATACATTATCTTCAATCCTAATAGGATCTTAGCGCATTTTATTTAGTCAGTGTTTGACTGACAGCCATTAGGTCACTTCCAGCTTTGCTTCAACAAGCAATGCTCCTCCGGCTTCTCCTAGGCCTGTGAGAGTGTCTACTCAACATCCTCAGAAGTGACTGCTGGCTCACAGTGCGTGGAAGTTGGATGTGCAGAAAGAACACAGTAGGATACCTGAGAGCTGACACAGCTGCATTAGGTCCTTGTTTCAATGAGCTGCCTACTTCTGTTCTCAGCAGGATCCTTGATCCGGCTGTGGATGAAGGAACACAGGACCGAGAATCTCAAGATCTCATGGGACACTCCCCCTTCCTCTATGGGCCTCAAGCGGGAAAAGGAGAGGGGTGGGAGTATAGATTGACAGCTTCTAGTTCCTCTTGGTCCTCAGAGCGCATGAAACTGGAGTCCTACCTGTGGGGTCCCCAGCCGCTCAATGAGGGGCACCAGGTGAAGCGGGGCATACTTGGCCTCCAGGCGTTTCATGCGCACTTCCAGACGCTCTCCCTCTGCAAAGGAATAGGAGATGAGCACATGAGACACAGCACACTGGGCAAGAAGAGACTCTTGTGGGACTTGAAGGTGGGTCTGCATTGTTTATGCAGAACGGGAACATGCAGATCTGTTCCTTGGTTCTGGACAGTTAAGACTCGCTCAGGAGAAGCATCTTCTAGGCTCTCTGCCCGCCTATGGCAGTATCACCTTGTGATAGAGTGAGTTTTCTCTCACTAGAGGAATTTAAACCAAAGTCAGACAGCATCATGCTACAAGACACTCCAGAAGGAACAGTAAAATAGCTGAAGGTGTCACTTCTAGATCTGTGGCTGATGATTCAATCGGAGGTCCAGGCTTTTGCTTTCATGGACCCGATTGGACTGGAAATAAGCATGACAGGTCAAGGCATGTTGGATCCTGAGCTGGATCTGAACGTTTTCTTACCTTTGATGTAGACCCTGGGCAAGATGTTTTGGAATGGAGCGGCGTGGAGCAGATCACAGACTTCCTCCTGAGACTGCAGACAGGGAAAGAAAAACCATTTTTCATTTTGAACCAGGAAGAATTTTCACTCAAAACCGAAGCACTGGAGTCAGCCAGACCTGGATTCTAATCCTGGATCAGCTATGTGACCTCGGGTGAGTTACTCAGCCTCTTCATTCTCATGAGGACAAGAAGAGCATTGCCAGTGGGTTTCTGTGGGGGTGAAATAATTTCATACAGTCCCCCATGCAGGAGAACTGAATGCCTTCTTAGTACACTCTTAGCAGGAATTTGTTCAAGGATTAGAATGAATGAAACAGGAATTAAACAGATGAGTCTGGCTTTGTGAGCTTGCTTGGCTGTAAGGCCTGCAGGCCTGAAGGTGCTGGCTGAACCAATCCTCCCACCTGTTATTTCACTTGACCCCTGGCACAGTTTTGTGTCTAGCTGCCTTTGTATTGGACAGCAGCTCGCAAGAGGAGCTAGGGCAGAGGCTGCTGGGGCTTGAAGGAGGCAGTACTGCAAACACTGCAATGGATGGGGGAAAAGCTTAGTTAGGGCGAGATGGAAGATAGTGTCTAATGGTCAGGCTGTCCTGGGCCAGCTCATGATCACACATCTCAGAGCAAAGGGGAGGGAAGCCAAATGGTAGAAGCCACACTCCATGGGGGCTTGCCCTCGCTCCTTTTCATTATGGGAGAGTCAGACTCCATTCAAACTCAACCCTCTGGGATTCTAAGCATCTAAGACAATCAGAACTGTGTGTGCCCTGGCTTGCTTTTCACCATCCCAGGCATGGAGGGAGTGGTACCCTCCTGGCAGTGTGGAGGGCTGTATTTTGGTTTGCGATCCCTACTAGCTAGCTTAGTTTGTTCAAAAATGCTTATTGTCATCCTAGAAATGGTTTTTTGGCTGAATATTGTCTCTTAAACATGAGAATAATATCTGAATGTTCAAATATGAAAATGATGCCATTACATCTGTGAGTATTCATTTATTCATGCTGTAAGTACTTATTAAGCATCAGGTGCTATTCCAGGTCTTGCAAATATGGTGTTGAGCAAGTTTGACTAGATGTTTGACTTTCATGGAATTTATATTCTAGTTGGTAGACAAAAACAAATAAACCATAAAATATCAGACAGTGACCAAACATAGAACAATGGACTGCAGAGCGACTGGGAGTTGGGCAGGGGTTCTCCAGGGCAGCTGAAAAAAAAATCTTGGTGAGTTGTAACATTTTAATGGAGAATAGTTAACTCAGAGAACTAGCCCTGCAGGCAGGAGGTAAGGGCATCCCAGTACAAAGGTCCTGTGGCAGAGAATAAGCTGGAATACAGCAAGGAACGGAATCACAATATTTACAGCATATCAAGCTCTGAAACTATGGTGTGTGGATCAGGTGGGGCCTTGTAGGCTTGGTATGAAGTCTGGATTTCATTGTAACTATGAGGAGGAGCTACTGAAGCTGCTCCAAGCAGAGCAATGTTACAGGGCCTCACTGCCAACTCCTTCCCCCCCCCCCCCCCAAACTTTCAGTTATTCCTAGAAATGTCTTGTCACTACAAGGTGGTTTGTTGCACTGTCACCTTTCTACTGGATTCACTTGGAACCACTTGGAGCACGGAGGAAGGACAAGAAGGCTCCTGTCCCCCAGTGCAATGCTGCTGCTACTTGATTCATTTTCCTCCATGAGCTTCTGCTTCCCATTTCTTTGGAGCAGACAAGCGTGCTCACTGCACCCCCATTGCCGCGTCTGCAAATGGTAAGAGCAGCTGCAGTTAAGGGCACTTGCTTCTGGCAGACTTCCTGCATGTTCTCTGCTTGACAATGTCATGGCTGACAGAGCTGAGCCAAAGAGAAAGATGAGTTTCCCAAGAGGGGCAGAAAAGCCTTTGGAAGGTCTCCGGGGTGAGTCCTATGGGGTGAACCCCGCAGTGGTAGCACACCTCTTGTGGAAGGTTATCTGTTTGGCATTTGTTAGCTGGATAACGATGTCCAGTTCTGAGCACACAGAGGCCTGCGTGAAGAGTCCAAACAAGCACCCACTGTGGGAGACCGGGCTGATGGCTGCCTTGCACTTGTCCAGTCATTATCTTAGCGGCTGCATGCTAGATCCCCTACTCTGCCCAGGAACCCATCAAGACGCTTGCTGCTGGACAGGGTCCTTCACTTGGCTGTGAAGCCCACCCAGCATGAGCTCCCTCCCCAGTCACACTCCTGATGCTTCTCCAGCCACAGCAGCTTTTCAGTCACCTTGTGTGTCATTTTGTGACTCCCCACCTCCCCCCCCCCCGCCCCAGCATCTGCACTTTCCCTCTGGAATGCTCGTGAGTCCCTCACTTCTCCTCTGTGCCTCTGCTTAGTAAATTCCCACTGTTCTTTCTCAGTTCAAGTCGCGCTCCCTCACTGCCTCCTTGCTCCTGTAGGCTCCTCTGTCAGGTGACTTCACAAAACCAGATTATCTTCTCTAGAATTTGAACTCTATAGCATGCATGACACTATCTGATTAAGATCTGTTCTTCTCGATGGAATTTAATCTCCATGAAGCCAAGAGCAATGTGCATTTTTGACCATATTTTACTTGCACTAGTGGGCCCAATGCCTGCTACACAATACATCCTTAACAACCACGTAGAGTTTATTGGAATGTTGTAACATTCAACAAATTGGAAATTGGAGCTTAGAAATCTCTATCTTTCTATATTCTATATATCTCTATCTATATACTCTATATATCTATATATAGAGTTATACATATATAGACAGATTCATAGATATGTATAGATGTTATATAAAACATAGATCTCTGTATATCTAATATATATATAGATATATGGCTAGATATACAGAGACCTATATATAATATGGAAATCTATATACTAATTATCTATATACTATATATATATAGAGAGAGAGTTGGATATTTCCTTTGGTTAGGGAAGAATTTTTAGTTGTATTGATGACTCTGCACAAATGATGTAAGTATTTTTAAAGAATTCTTCATGTTGTGGAATTTTCAGGTGGACCAACTTTTCCCTCCCTTCTTGTATTTTCCTTCTTGTATATACTTATGTAATGTTCTACATTGAACATGCATTACTCCACATATACTGGTTTAAAGAAAAATATAATAGACCCTGAAAACAACTACACGTTCAGAATCCTAATCCAACATGTGTGCCAACAGTGTTTCAGATTCTAAAGTTTTTCATATCTTGAAATATTTTTACACAGTTTATTCTTTAAGTATCCCTAGTCTGAGAATCTTGGGATCAGGGATGTTCTGCCTGTGAGTTTCAACAGCTTTTGGGGTCTCGTGGCTAGAATCGGAGGGAAGGAAATGAAAGCCAAGCACATTACTTGATCTGGCTAAGGAAACTATTCGCATAGGCTAAATGCAGATAGAATTTGTTTTGGTTTTTAGGGTTATACATTCAGACAAATCAGACAAGAATAAAATACTACGAAGAAAAAAAAAAAACTTGTCTGTGACAATGAAAAAGTCTTGCTGATAGGAGATGGGAAGTGGAAGTACCGAGAGCATTAATTCCCTGATTTGTTTTTTCATCTTTCATGAAAGGAGCGAGATGCTAAGTGATGACACAGTAGAGGTGTAAGTATGTGAACTACAATTACCAGAGGAAACAGCAGAGACCATGGGTAATGTAAACACTGACAGCAAGAGAGGGGAGAGAGAGAAATGAACTGGCACTCCTCTTTCCAAAGAGAGGGTCCCCAGAAGCACCATCTCATGTTGTTAATTATGAGACAGAAATTCTCCTTCTGTTTCATGTCACTTGTCTTCCAGCAAGTGGAAGAGCTGCAAACAAGTGACAGGCTGCCTGAGGATTGGGATGCGGCCAAGCCAAGAATGATAGCTTTCCTCATAAGCTCATTTGTATGATTTGATTTGTTATCCAGTGCGATTAAGAACGATCTAGATGGAACACAATGAGCAGATTGGATTAACTGGTCTCTAAGGGTCCTTTCCTGGAGCGACAGTTGAGACCAGTCGAAAGGCTTGATTCTCCAGGGACCAAGGCAATGAGCATTCCCTAAGCACTCCCTGACAGTGAGTGCTTAGTGTTTGGTCACTGTTTCCTTCGAGCTGTGGGGGACCCCAAGGCCCAGGGTCATGTCACCTTGACACCCACGCAGCCAAAGCCTTGGCAGGTGCTATGGTGGAACATCCCCACCCAAGCCCGTTTTCAGCATCATCCCTGAGCTTGTGCCAGTGGAGTCTGGAGGTGCAAAGGTCAATGGGTCAGAGCACTCGCGGAGTAGCAGCTGAAGTGGTCACTCAGTGGTGGGCATGGCAGCGGAGGCAGTGTGCCTCTGTGTCTTGGGTGAGGCTCTGGCCCCGGGATTCCCTGTGTCAAGTTAGGACCCCACATAATCCCTACCAGGAAGAAGGTCCTTCCCAGATGTAGCCCCTTCACCTGGACTCCCCAGCCCCTGGAACTAGAGGAAATGCATTTGTTTTATCAGTGTATTACTACACCTGGTTGGTCAGGTGTAGTAACAGAAAATGGGTCTGAGATGGAAAGCCCTTCTCCCTTCCCTAGGCAGACAAAGTGAGAAGGAAATGCAAAATCAAAAGCAGAAACTAGAGGAAATGGCTTCAAATCTTGGAACTTTTTTTTTTTTTTTTGCCTGACTCCTATTTGTTAGGACCATCATTTGTTGATTTTGGGGAGGGGGAGATGTCAGAGAAACTAACAATCTTCACAGGTCAAAAATTGTGATATAGTATGCATTTGTAATACTGACGGGAGTCACATACACCTTGTAGTCGAACAGGAAAGTCACTGACCGCTCTGTTCTCAATTCCCAGAGGAACCCTCTAGCCTGAATCTGAGGAAATCACAGCTCTACAGATCTGGCACCAGCCTGAAGGATATACATGCACTCCGTTTACACCCTCAAATCCCCTTCCCTGATCCTCCTTATCTAAAATTTTCTGCCCACTTGTATCTGTCCCACAAAACCCCAATCAAGTTCTAGAAACTTTGAAGCCTCACCAGCCCACAGTGCCTTTGTTTTTCAAACAGTAACCAGAGCTCTTGGCCCTTCAGCCTGTCCCCCAGCCCTGAGCTGTGGGCAGATGGAAATGGCTGTCCAATGCTGCCCCATGGCAGGGTTCTGAAGTCCCTGGATGCAATGGAGGGAGCCCAGAGGCGCACATCTCATGAACAAACCGACAGTGTTCTTGGCACGAACTGTTCAGGACCTACAGTTTATGTGATCCGAGAGGCCATCCAGAATAGAGATCATGGGTAGAGTGTGATCTCGATGTTAAACAAGCAAGTGCTGAGTTGGGAGCCATGTGAACTAATGGAGTCATTCATTCAGTCAATCACACAGGAAATGGCAGGCATCTACCACAGCCAAATGGTAGCCCTGGTGCAGGATCCTTACCCAGATGGATACAAGTCCGTGAGCAATGCTGGTAAGTGTGTGGGGGCTGCAGGGGGAGTGGGGGGAGCAGAAGGGATGTTGGCAAGAGAGAACAGGGCACCGGCAGAGGTCCCGGGGAGCCGAGCGTGTTCCTAATGAAGCAATAGCATGCCAAATCAGCAATTCAGGAAGCAGAACCAAAAAAGGGAAGGAAGTCTGAGATTTAACATGAGTAGGAACTATAGCCTCCCCTTGCTGCCTTGACAAACAGCTGGCTGTTAGGGTCCAGTGCCTGGAGGTGCTGGGCTGTGCAGCCGGGCAGGTGGGAGGGGGCATTTCAGGAGGTCAGGTACCTCCCCGGAGCCAACGCAGGGCAAGGCCAGAGCAGTGCACTGTTACGGGGAGCAAGGCTGCATTGTTGTTAGGGGAGTTTATCTCCAGTAGAGATGACAGCGAGGTTTGTGGGGACGTAGGGTACTGCACAGGGGCCTGGCCTCCCAGTGGGCACCAGGTACACTGCAAAGGTCATATATGCGGTAAGAGGAAGGCTTTCTCAGGGTCATCTGCTAGCAAATGTTTTTAAAAAGTAACAGGATAACATGTTAAAGGCAGGAGGTGGCCTGTCCTTGTGTGCTGGGAGCGGCTCTGGGGCCATCACAGTCACCCATGCCCACAGAGGGGTGGGGCTTGTTTTCAGGCCCTGGGCTAGAAGCGGGGCAGTGGCACTCGCACCTCAGGGCTGCTGCCCTTGACTTCCAGTAGCCAACAACAGCAGCGGTATTTTAGTTGTTTGGATTTAATGTGAGCCATTTTCCTTGGAAAGGCACCGAATATCTAATCTGGCTTGCAGGCAAAGACTGTCTTCCAGGGGCTAAAGTTAGAACACTAGGGGGGCAGGTCAAGGACTTCAGGCTTAGGACATGCCCTAATGCAGGTCGGCAGCGTGCTGTGCCTCAGCTTCCTGATGTACAAGTTAACCTTCCCAGTTTGCCCCATGGTTGAGTACTACAGCTAGGAAATAAACGGTAATAAGAAATGAGGTGAGGACCCAACACACTAGCCTAGTGACCAAATCCTCACCTTGAATCTGCCAGGATCCTATATGGGTGCTGGTTCGTATCCTGGCTGCTCCACTTCCCATCCAGCTCTCTGCATGTGGCTCAGGAAAGCATTGGCTCAAAACCTTGGGGCCCTGCACCCATGTGGGAGACCAGAAGAAGCTTCTGGCTCCTGGGTTCAGATCAGCTCAGCTCTGGTCATTGCAGGCACTTGGGGAGTGAAGCAGCGGATGGAAGATCTTTCTGTCTCTCCTTCTCTCTGTAAATCTGCCTTTCCAGTAAATAAAACAAAGTAAAAACTCAGGGGTGTGGAGCAAGCACTGCTCAATCCAGGCTTCGCAGGTTGTAGTTGGAAGCTCAAATTTTAATAGAACAAAAAGCTTCCTGTTGGTTTTAAACCATAACAGGATCTGATTAATAATTGTACAAAATCTGAGTCTTAAACTGAAATGTTATTTTGAAATTGAAGTACAGGTACAAGGCCTTATTTTTTTCCAGCAGGAGTTCCTGGAGTAGAAGGCCAAGCCCTCCGACCATGGTCAGTGGAGGGTGGTCAGCCCGGAGGTTTCAGGATGACTCCGATGCCACGTGGCGCTCTCTGCTGGAGAGGGGTGGGGTCCCTGCCTTTGGCGACCAGGAATGGGGCTGAGTCACGTCTGAGCTCAGTGCTCGCAGTCGCCTGTACAAGTTCAGAAAAGGAGGTCCCCAGTAGCTCTTGGGTACATATGACCCAAGAAAGATTGTATCAGCTAGTGCAGATAGCTGGAAAAAAAACAACCCCAAACTTTCATGACTCTCCTGACTTTGTGATTTTCTTGGTTTAGTGACCTCTTCTTGACTTTGATTCTGTGATGAGGTTTTTTCTTCAACCCTGAATTATGAAATTCTAGATATCTACTCTCTGAAAGAACACTGAATATCCTTGTATCTCTGTCTAGTGTCACAGCGAGTATTTGTCATATTTGCTGCAAATCTATCTTGCTAAATAGGCTTTTTTAATTTGTTTTAAAGATTTATTTTATTTTTATTGGAAAGGCGGATATACAGAGAGGAGAGACAGAGAAGAAGATCTTCCGTCTGATGATTCACTCCCCAAGTGACCGCAACGGTCGATGCTATGGCGATCCGAAGCCAGGAGCCTCTTCCGGGTCTCCCACGCGGGTGCAGGTTCCCAAAGCTTTGGGCTGTCCTCGACTGCTTTCCCAGGCCACAGGCAGGGAGCTGGAAGGGAAGCGGGGCTGCTGGGATAGAACCGGCGCCCACATGGGATCCCAGGCGTGCAAGGCGAGGACCTTAACCACTGCGCCATTGTGCCAGACCCGCTGAATAGTCTTAAAATAAATTGAAAACATTATCACTTTAGCCTTCAGCCCCCCAGCTTACACCTCCTCCTAAAACATCTTACGATGTAGTGATCTTCTATTTATATTTTAAAAGTTCTAAACATACAAGCCATCCTTAGCTGTTCCTTTCAGGTTTGTGGTATATATTTTTTGGTTAAAGCTAGGGTCTAGCCATGAAATTTCAAAAGTGGGAATGTAATGCAATTGCTCTACCAAAAGAAAAAAACAAACCCTTAAATAGTGCCAACAGGAGGTGATTACTGTGTGCTGCTGTTCCTGGGAGGAGTTAATGAGTAAAAACTGGTGTATGTCCCCAGAATCATTCTCACGCTTTTGTTGAGATCATTACGTAAGAATCAGGGCCTGCTGAAAAGTTGCTGTTCATCAGCAGAGTAAATAAAAGCATTAAAGATTTTTACACTTAATCTTAGCCAAAAGGCTGAGAAGCGATGCAAAAACCTGTTACACGGAAACAGTCGAAATTCTTACAGCAATTAGTGCTTTGACTTTGCTTTCAGTCTTAAAGTTGTTCTATTTTATATTTAGTTTAAAGCAGAGGAGCCTGCAAGGATTGGCAATCAACACCCAAATCCTCAAATATTCCCAAGTTGCTTAGACTGAGGCTAAGTGTGGGTCCGGTTTCTCTTGGCTACAGGACCTTCCAGATGTTCTGCGGTCCTAAGCAGATTTAGGTTCTATTCCTGGGTGGAAACAGACAAGCTTTAGCTAGTTTTTCTACAGGGAACCATCAAACCAACCTCAAAACAATATTGTCATAGGCAGCATTTTTCTGAATTTCTTTAAGGCATCAAACAGATCAACAGCACTAAACATTTACGTTTGCTTTTGTTCCGGAATGCAAAGATGTGGAGAAGTGGAGGTCAGGCCAGCCCCATGAGGAGCTCCGCTCTGCTAGGATTCCTGGGGGATGGGAGCCCCGTGCTCCTAACATGGGCTTATATGGATGTGCCTCTTCATGGGGTTAGGCCCCAAGCAGCAGGCACGACCTGCGGCTTCCCGTGTCGTCCAGTGTTCATGTGCAGGGCAGAGCAGGAACTGGGGCCTCCAGCCGCTTGCCTGGGATTTGGTGCTCTGCAAGTCTCTGGCACATCACATCCGGCTCCTTGCAGCTCTGGCTGAGTCAATCAGTAAGTGACTCTGAACTGATCATGTTGGCAGGTGGTGTGCATTTGTGGTTTTTGCCACCAGTTTTGCCCGCACCTAAATAATGCTGGGTATTGTTACTATGTCTCCCCTGCCCCACACCCCTCGTGTTCCAGCACTGTCAGTAGAACTCTGGTCAACTTTGATCTACAGTGAAGAGGCTCTGGCTGGGACAGTGATTCTCCCTTCTCCTCAAAGCACGCAGTGTTTCCCAAGGCTGCCATTTCCCGAAGTGGGAACCTAGGGCTCAGGCGGGCCACACAGTAAGGAACTCTTCTCTTTCCTTTCTTCCCTCCCTCCTTTTCCCTCCTTTTCCTTCCCTCCCTCCCTTCTCCCCCTTCTTTCCTTCCTTTCTCTCTCTCTCCTTCCTTGGACAAATATCCCAGAAAAGTATTGTATGTGAGGAAATTGCAGGGCAGGGTTTCTCTTTTCTGTCTGTCCCCCTCCCTTCCTTCTTCTCTCAAGTCTTCTTCAAATCTATCACTGTACAAACTCTTTCTTTCTTTCTTTCTTTCTTTCTTTCTTTCTTTCTTTCTTTCTTTCTTTCTTTCTTTCTTTCTTTCTTTCTTTCTTTCTTTCTTTCTTTCTTTCTTTCTTTCTTTCTTTCTTTCTTTCTTTTCTTTCTTTTCTTTCTTTTCTTTCTTTTCTTTCTTTTCTTTCTTTCTTTCACCACCCTAGCCCCCCTCAAATCCCACTTACCTCATGCTTATGCCCGCTGTTCGGTGAAGAGCCCCCTGGTGGCAGGTACCGCCATAACACCTTACCCTCACAAAGCACTACGTACCATGTCTCCAAACTCGTGCTACCCTCCACCTTTCCTTTGCTCCGTGCTGTGGCCTGCCTTGCTTTGCGCGAGGACGGGGGAGGGATAATAGAGGCAAATCTGCAATATAACTAATGGAATTTCCTCTAGCATTTGTGACCACATAAGTAAGGGCTTGTACCTTCCTCAGTACTACAGATGGGGGAGGACAGAGTCTTCTTAGTAAATAGGGCTAGGACAACTCCAGAAGAAATACAATTGCAATAAATCACAAGAGCCCCAACTATAAAGGAAAAGAAATGTCAATACTAAGCCATTAGCACCGTGATTGCTCAAAAAATAAGCTATAGTAGTACCAGTAACACATATGTATTGCCTATAAATCAACAAGATGAGGTAACAATATAGCAGAAGTTGAAAATTGATGCTTCAATTAGTATTCTCCTGTAATAAAGAATACTATAGGGCAATGGAAGAGCCACCCACAACAGACATGCTCAGAGTGGACAATTTCACTTCTAGGACATGCAAGAAAAACTAGTGTCTGAACATAGAGATCAACTGTTTCTTGGGTTACAATGGGCGTATTCACACACACAATTGTCCCAAAAACCCATGTACTTGTGGGGTTTCGGATAACATTGCATCTTCAGTTTCCAGGAAGAGAAGAACTTACAATCTACCTTCATCCAAACGATCAGCCCCCCCCCCCACTCACGAATTAGACTCACCTGCCTTAGAAATGCAAGCCACACAAGGCAAAGGTTGGCAGCACATGAATACACACCCACAGTAAAAGCTCTAAAAATCCACCAGGAAAACAGAATAGGAAAGAGAAATGGCGCAGATTCCCAGCTCCCCATTACATGTTTTTTTGTTCCTGGTTTTTCTAAAACTAACAGAGCTTCTATTTTATAATTTTTAGGTCAACAGTAACACGTGCCTGCCTTATGTGAAACGAGGGCATTCCAGGTGAGGCCTGTGGGCTGGCTTCTCCCCCTGGCATCTGGAAAAATGATTGTTATGCTTTTTATTTCTAGATTTTTTTTTCAGTCAGTGCAATATTATTTTGTGGGTTTCACTTGATTTTTACCTGCCGGGTAGGACGCGTCTTACCGTCTTATCTGATCACTTGCTCTTTTCACAAGGCATTGTGCCTTTCATCATTTTCTAAGTCGAGAGGCACAAACTCACGTTAGCCCTCCTCATGGCAAGTACCTCCCAGTCTCCAGAAGGAGAGGTGATCGACTCACACAACCCTTGGTTAAGGAATGGCCATTATGCCTGCTACTTCGTTTTACATACTTGGTTCAAAGAGCTCCAAAGAGTTCATGCTTTGTTTTGACCTGTAGAACTACAACTTTCTGGAGTTCTGAGCCCTGTTTCCCACCCGCAGTGCAGACACCAAGGACTGGGGTCAGCCCTGCACACCCACACTTGCCTTTTGCCATGCTGTGTGAGTCCCAGTGAGTTGCTGCTCTCACTTAGGCACAGAAGGGGTGCAAGCACTCAGGCTGCTGGGGACTCAGCCTTGATGGCCGCTGACCCCAAGTGTCCTGCCTTGCTTACAAGTATACGCAGGTGACCGCGTAGACAGGGATGTCTGAGGAAAATTGTTTCTTTCCTCGCAGCCCGCAGCTCTTGTCCACGTCCTGGAGTCTGAATGGATGCCTGTGAAGCCACGCTGAAGAGGAACAAATTGCTGGCTCGAGAGCCCTTTACAGCAGCAACAGAGACTCTGCTCCAAGGATGAGCAAACTTGGCCCAGCTTCCTGCTGCCTGGCAGTAACTTGACCTAGTTCTGCAATTAAGACATGAAGGCTGCTGGGCTTGCAGACAGTTGGAGAGGGGAGGATGGGTCCTGGTCTATTAAAGTTTCCTCTTGTCACTGCCTTCTGTCTACCTCCTCTGACCTATCGCCAGCGGGTTCACCTTGGCCTGCATATGGCCTCGTCCTTCGTGCTCTGTCCACTTGATTTTACTCTCAGCACCTCAGCGGCTGTGCAGAAGTCGGCCCTGTCTCTGCCCTGCTTGCCCCAGCTTCCTGCAGTGGTACCTCCCTGACACGACCCCATGCCATCACTGTTACCTGCAATTCACTCACGTGTCATCACCTGCAGTGCTGCTCCAGGGGCATCTACCTATGTCCCTGTCTCCCTCCTGTGGACAAAAGCTGTAACTGCTTTGCCTCTGGACTGGTTACCCGTAACCAATAACTCTGGCTACTTTCAGTTTTTAACCAATTCTGCAGACTAAAATTACTGTCTCCCATCCCAGTCCGGCTTGGCAGTCCTTTCTCTCAGTCAAGGACAGCAGCTCCAGGCCACCTGCTCTAGCAATCCTCCCTCACCCTGTTTCACGGTCAGCTTTCAACCCCTATAATGCACACTGCCACGGTTCACACAGGACTTCTGTGCCGCTGGACACAGGAGACGTGCTGGACCGGCCACCGCGACATGTCCCAGCACCACGCCCTACCTGTGGTAGCCAACTGCATGGAAAACGAGAAGCTTGCACTAAGGGCAAAGGACATCTAGCGAGGGGGCGCAGGGGCAGGATCAGAATCCAGGCTGTCTGACTCCAACGTTAATGCCGTGGCCAGGGGCTGCCACACTCAATACCCTCTGGCCTCGGGACTCACCAGTGCTTGCTCTATGAGGAGGCAGAACAGAACGGCATTGCCCACTTCCCGCAGGCTCTGGAACACATCTGTTTTGAGCTCGGCATACTCAATGATGTCCTTCAACTGGTGGTGGAAGAATTCCAGGATCCCTGTAAGGAATGGGCTAGTCAGGCGGAAGTGGACACTGCCCCGCAGCCTTTATGGGATGTGCTGACACGGCAGCAGGACCAGGCCCCCACCAACCAATCCATGCGACCCACGTTAGAGGGGCCCGGTACTAAAGCACAGGAGGCTACTGACTGCGCTCGTATTGAGCAACACGCAGAGCACCCTACAATTCCCCAGTCCCTCTAAAATGCCACGATGCTGTCTCCGCGTGCAGCTCAGTGTAAACAGCAAGCCCAGAGGCCCACAGCGCTCGTGTGGGGAGCTGGGATCCAGGAACAAAGCATTCTGCCCCATCCCTTTTCTACCACACTTACCTAGCACCTGACGTCAGGGCCTTTGGAAAAACACCACCAAATAAAATAGAACAACATCATCTTTTCTGACTGGCCAGGCCCTATACTGAGTGGCAAAGATGCCTGTTTGCTCAGTAACCTTGGGATGCTTGGCGCCATCCCCTGGGGCGGCCGCTCTAATGCTGAGCCAAGTGGAGGAAGGTCTCCCAGACATGCTTACTTAACACAGCCCCCTGCAAATACATCTTCCAGTGCAGCATGGGACCACCTCCCAACTGCTGTGAATCCTGGGAGGTGGGCCTGGCAGGAAACGGGCAATCAGAGATGGGCCTGCTCAGAGGAACGGCCAAGGGTTCAAGGCTACCTAGCCAGGGCAGGCTGTGCCTGCTCCCTGCCCTGGGAGAGGAGCCGTCACCTACCTGGGGAGCCATACTCGTGCCGGGGCAGACGGCATATCTTGGGCATCACCTCGATCAGAGTCTTCACGTACTGGAGGATGGTTCCTTGGAGCTGCCAGAAGAACAGCAGTGATGAGCGAGTTTGCTGGCATGGCACAGCACAGCGCGCGTCATCCGATGCTGGCCTGCTTGGGGGGTGGTAGACCCAACCTGAGAGTGGAGCCCTGCTGCCTTCCCGGAGGAGGCGGGCTCTCACCTGAAGGTTGGGGGGACTGTCGCACTGTGTCGCACTGATCTTGTTCAGGGACAACGAGACTGTGTAGGACAGAAAAGGTAGGTCTTGTTGCTCTCTTGGACTTAGAACCTCCAAGAAGAGCATTGTTTAAGGTGTGGGGTCCTTGCGAGGGGGTGCGGATGTTTGCATGTGATCCAGATTCAAGAGCGAAAGAGAAACAGAGCCAGGGACCCATGGGGATTGAGATACACTATGTAATTTAACCATGGAAAATGCCTGGCACGTCCATCCTTCCTGAATCCCTGCAGACATCCTTAATCAGGGATCCTCCTTTCCCTTTCACATCTGGATTTAGCTCCACAATCCTTTATGCTCCATGGCCCCGTATGGTTGCTGCCAGAGAACTGGAGTTGGCAGATGAACCCTGTTTGCCATTCCTGTCCTGGTTACACACTACCTTGTTTATTTCTCTCTTTGTCATATTCAATTTCCAAGAAAGTCTTGCTGAGATGTTTTGGCCTTGCTTCAACGACGTTTCAGATGACCACACTTGGGGCAGAAACAGCAAGGTGGTACAGCGACAGTCCCCTTGGAGCGGTGCAATACTTCTGGTGGCAGTGATTTAGCAAGAACTCCCAAGGGACAGATGTGGAGACTGATTAGGGATGTCTGCCAGGACCCTGGCAGGGGAGGAGGACCATGGCAGCACCTGTGTCATGAAGTGGGTATGCATAAATTCCACAGTGCAGCACAGGCTGGGAGAATGAGAAACCAGCAACAGGCCTTGGAAGTCTAAATCAGAATTTCTGGGTTCAGTAACCAAAAACAAGTCAGGGTCAGGAAAAGGGAGGCAACACCACAGCAACGGAACTGAACAATGGCTACCAACCACCAAGGGGCACAGGAAAGGACGCCCTGGGCGACTGCTCCAGACAGAGCTGGGATGTGCTGTTATGGGTCACAAAAGCCACCATCTCCTCCAGAAAGCCAGCCTTGGCTTACCAAGCTCTTGACGATCTTCAGCAGTTCCTCCATGACCACCGCGATGCCCTGGTACCCCAGCAGTCTGCAGATGGTCTTGAAATGAGGGGGTCCCACGAAGTTCCTGTAGGAACTATAGATGTGGCTGTAGGCAATGTTGAGAGGCTGGAAGACAGAGGTGGTGGCAACTCAGCAGCTGACAGACCTGCTGGGAGCTGTCCTTCTGGCAGAAGGGACGCCCCGTCATAGGCTTTCTCAATGGGGTCTGCATGTAGAGCGTGGTGGTCTGTGACAGCCCAGGGTAAAGGTCATGGAGGGAGTGGAGGCTGCTCCTGGCATGGCAGGAGGGCGGCTGGGCTTCCAAGCAAATAGCCCTGGAAGGGACTCTGCCATCCGCAACTGCCCCTGCAGCCCCGCGGGACTGTTTCTACAAAATGAGCCACAGCAGGGATTAAAACAGCTGCTGTCCCTTCCCTAGAGGCTTGTCTCATACTAGAAAATGCTAGAAGAACCATGTGAAAAACTCAACCGCTGACTCAAGAAGGTTGGCTTTTTTTACTAACAACTCTTTCCACCCATGACAGGTCGGAGTCTGAACATCAGCTGACTGCACAGAGGGGAAGTCTCTTGGGCTTTTGAAGCCATAGTGTCCCAATTCTGTGCACTCACGAGGATCAGGTGACATGAGTGGTTTCCTAACTTGTAGAGCTGTTGTCCATGTCAAGTGACAATGCAAGCTGTGCTGATCAGCTGCTGGGGGCTCAGCCCCGGCCAAGTCTTGACTATTCTACGTGACCTCTGGGTCCCGTGAGACACCTTATCTGAACTGGAGTGACAGCCTGATCCCTATCCCAGAACAGGAGGCCCCAGACTGTCTCACTGGCTGGCACAGAAGGTACTGCCGGCCACTGCTGCTTCTGAAATGCCACCACCCTACGGAGCTCCGCAGACCTCTGCATGCATTATCGTTCAAGGCTCACAACACACCCAGGTGATGGGCCACACTCCTTGTCCCGTTTTGCACACGGCAGAATGGAGGCTCAGGCTGGTGAGCCACTTGCTCAGGATCACACAGGTGACAGACACCGGAGCGCCAATGAACCAGGAATGGCCACTTCCCGAGTCCGGGATCTTAACCTCTCCTGTAACTGTGAACCCTGCAAGCTGCATCCTGTCAGAACTCTCAATAAAACTTCATTTCAAAACTGAATGCTAAGGATAGTGTTTCTATCTGGAATTGTAACACACGTTGTACATAAACATGAAAATATGAGAAAACCACCTGTGATAGTCTATCACCTAAAATTACCAATTGGCTAATTAGAATTGTTATATAAATTATATAAGAACTATAATGATGCCTTGGAGAAATGAGAGATCTCTAACTCCCTTTGTAGCTCTTACGGGAAAATTAAACTGTATTTAAGTTTTGAGTTTCATTCATTTTACTATGCATGAATTATTCTAAAACTCACATGCTTCATAATTATGATACCTTCTAAACATGATGAGACACAAACAATATGATTACAGTTCCCACTAATGAGTTCGTGACGAATCAGACACCCACACATTCTCCAGGTTGGATAGGTCACTGGGTGAACTCACACCTCTGTATCAGCAGGCTTGCAGTGTGAGCACGAGCAGCCTTCAGTACCCAACCCCGAGGAGCTGGCATGGGTGACTCCGCCACCACCATGGAGACGGACAACCTGTGTGTAGTTTCTACATCTTTGGGCCAGAGTGGGTCTCTGCAGGTAGGGAAATAGACCTGACTCCACAGCGGGATGTTCACTGACACGTTCAGCAAATCCTGCGCATCTGAGCTCCATGTACCCATGTAGTAATTACATGGGTTCATATCATGTAAGTGTGGGCAGCAAATTTATTCTAGTGCCTGTGGATGAGGGATCAGGACTAGGGTGAGTTGAGACAAATAGGATACATGCTGACAGGAGCTGCTTTCTGCTATAGGAGCAATCTTAGTTCTGCTCCAGCTCCTGAAGGTCCAGGCTGTATTCTGATTCCTTCCCCAGAGGTGGGGAGCAACCAGCAAACACCAAAGAGAGAAATCATCATGCAGCTGTATACACACGGTCTGCGTGCACCAAAGTTTGTGACTTTAATTCCTACACTGAAATCCTACTTCAGAGTGGGAAGATGTTAGCAGATGGTTAGGGTACAAGGGTGGGGTCCTCTTCAATGTGATTAGGGCTTAGGGCTTCACTGCCACATGAGGACCTAGTGCGGAAAGTGGCTGTAGACCAAGAAATATCCACTCCCCAGACACTGGAGCTGTTGGCCACCTTTAGATCTGGAAGAAATCAGCCTGGCTAAATGCTTTCCTTGCAACCGCCAAGATCCGGTATAGACGCCAGTGCATCTCCCAGCTGCGTGCTTATGGCGTGGGAAAGCAGTAGAGGATGGCCAAAAGCCTTGGGCCCCTGCACCTACACAGTAGATTAGGAATAAGCTCCTGGAACTTGGCTTCAGATTGGCCCAGCTCCGGCAGTCACGTCCATCTGGGAAGTGAACCATTGGGTAGAAGATCTTTGTCTCTACTTCTCTCTGTAAAAATCTGCCTTTCCAATAAAAATTAAAAATTTCGTAAAAATTCAAATATAAAAAAATAAAGGGAGGATGTAAAAGCAGAAGCGAGCTCTGCTGAAAGCATTGCTGCTGCAAAGGCTGGCACCTGAAGCCTGCACAGACGTGAGTGAATGACAACCTGAGGGGCTCGTTGCCATGGATGCGTCTGGTGCATAGGCTAGCCTAACAGCCTTCTCACTCCCACCCACACCAAGGACTCCAGGACCCTCAGAATCCAGGAGACCTTGTACCACTCTCTCCTTTGTCCCCTTCTCAAAAATCCTCTGGAAAAAAATTTTTTTTGAGTAGAAGGGAGCTTTTAAATAGCTACCTCTAAGGGAAAGACTGAGATCAACAAAATACTTACACACACACACACACACACATATATATATTTCTCTCTCTCTCTCTCTTATTCTCTTGCTTTATCTCAATCTGGAGGATGGGCTATGGGCAGGCACACCTAATTCCAAATTCCAAGTCTGTACATTCACTAGTTCAGTGCTCCTGGGTGAATAATCAACTCTCTAAGCCTTGTTTTCTATGATGTAACAATACCAGGTGCAAACTGGCTTTGTGCAGTGGTCAGAACGGTGCTTGGCACAGTGAAATTCTAGATTACAGCCACAGCCATATTATGTCTGATGAATTGGTCTAGAAAGACAGAAAAGCACAGCTTCCTGGTCAAGTTTCCCCCACTCCAGCTTTGGCTACAACTGCAATTCTTTAATGCGGGTAGGGGGGTGTGTTTTTGGAGGAAAAATCTTAGACAACAAAGCAAAGTATCCCTTCAAGGAGCAAGACCGAGGTCAGAGCTGGCAAAGCTGATGAAACACACCCAAATATGCAGATTGTGTTCAATACAAAAACCAAAACCAATCCAAAACAACACACACACACACACAACAAAACCACAGATGTGAGCTTCCCCTGTCAAACTGTGGTGGGTAGACACTCCACTGCAAACGCCCAGGAGGAGGTGAGCAACAGGGAGCCCCCTGCCCAGGACGCAGGGCAGGTCAGGGGTGCTCCAGTGCTCCCTCTGGCGGCCTGAGCTCTCAGGCATCCTCCTGCATGCTCACCTACTCAGCAGCTCCCTCAACTTGGCCCTCTCCCGAGGGGATGTTCAAACCAAGTTTTCCTAAAAGCTGCTGGCAAGCACAGAAGCTTACAAACACATGGTCAGACACACAGAAACCATTTGGCAGGCCTTCCCAGCTTAGGCGCAGCAGAATCATTTTGGAATTGTTTTTGCCATACACAAGTTGTTTAAAAAAAAAAATCACTACAAAGACCCATCTAGTATACCCCAGAGGACTCCCCCTGGCGGACATGGCTGCTCAGTCCCAGCCTCCAGTCTGGACTGGAAGCTTAGGCTTTAGTTGCTGGCCCATGCGACATTTCCTGCAGGTAGGACCGACATGAAATAGGCCGAATTCAAACTCTTCAGTAAACCAGTTCCTCCCCACTGTCCCCTGCTCTCCCTCCATGCTGCAGCACACACATGCAAAAGGCAACACACGCATGCTGAAGAGGACATGCACACACAGCCCCGGAGGGCACCCATCTGACCTGCTGGCTCAATAGGAGGCTGGGCCCTACTGAGAAAATGTGGGAATAGGGAAGCCTGGGCATTTTCTGAGGCTTGGCAAAGAAAAACAGGAAGGCAACATGACTTGAGACACTGGACGCTTGCCACAAATCTCGCACCCCTAACCAGCTCTGCCCACTAATGCAAGTGGCAGCCAGCGGTGAACAGGAACTAACAACGCATCCCATCTGTTGACTGCAGCACGTTTAAAATCAAACTTGCTGGCCTCCACACTGCACCACATAGATAACTTCAGGAGTCCTCAAGAAATACATAGCAAAGCTGACCCGACCTGCATTTTTTTTTTAAAGAAAGCAGAAATTGGGTGGGCCTTCTCCCTTAATACCCCCCTATTAACATGAAGGAAACAATACAGAAAAAATACTAGTCTTACCCACTTTCTTGTAGCCCTTAAACCTTTTTACCTGAATTAACTATGTAAAGATTATCAAAATAAAAAAAAGAAAAAAAATGAAAAAAAAAAAAAAGAAACCAGAACAATATTTAAGGGCAAGAAAAAAAATACAGTGCATTTGATCTGGTAGAGAATAATATTTGGAAAATAGCTAAGAAAAACTGTGACAAAATCATTAACTACAACATTCACCTTCTGAGTTTTTAGTGTTATATATGGACTTTATGCATTTGGCCTTGCTCTCACACCAGATGGGAAATGTGGCCAACCACGCCACACATTGCCTGATTCTTCTAGCCAACAAAATTTGTAAGCAATTTGCATCCCCACTCTCTGGAATCATAATAGCTGTTTTCAGACATCCCTAGAGGAATTAAAACTGTTCCTAATTTCCTGTTTTTTTGTTACATTTTCTCTCATGAATTCCATCAGCTCATAAACTCAAACACAGCTCTCTAACTCAGGTCAAAGATTTGCAAACCTAGTGATTCCTCTGCAGGTCAAGGAAGAGGGGAAGCTGAACCCTTACAATAGCAATACTGCTTGTCAGAAGGGTCATGGGCACGATTG